TGGAGGATAAATACAGTTACAAAATGAGACCGTGTTATAAAAGACTTGTAGCTCTTATTAGCCCTGTGAAATACTACCCCATGTGAATGGTGCTATATAACAATAATAAAATTATATTTGTATAGTGCCTTTCACTTCGGGCGGACGGCCCAAAGCACTGGGACAGTAGTTATTGTTGAATTCCATTATAGGTTCCATTGGGCTTGGAGAAAACGCATCTCCTGGCACCTTCTGCTCTCTTATCACTTGCTCTGAATGATGCCAACATGATTGGCACCATTGGAATAGGGCAATCATTAGTGCTCGTACATGGAGTTATGCTTGCAGAGTTGGACAAAATAAAGTGGCTGCTTGGGGAAAAGGAAGTGGGATACCTTCAAGCTCACTTTGTTATGTCATAGGTTCTGTTACATCCTGTGTAAATCCATTACATCGGGGAGTCTTGTAGCTCAGTACTTAGAGACCCGCCTCATAAGGGAGAGGACTCGGGTTCGATTCCCGGTAGAGCGAACCATTGGGCAAGTTTCCTTACTCCACACATCTCTGTTTAGCTAGAGGTAAATAGGAATCCAGTTGTTAGTCGATTGGCGGATGGCATTTTGCAGTATTTTGTAGGCAAGCAGAGCAGCTAATTTTCACACAGTAATTTCCCATAAACAGCCATGAAGTAAATGAGCAATTTTATCTGGGAGATTAATGGCCAGGACACCAGGAAAAACTCTTTTTTTTTTTGGAATTGTGCCATAGGATCTTTAAAAATCACTTGAATAGGCAGACGGGACCTCAGTTTAACATCTGATCTGAAGAACGTCACCTCTGACAATGCAGCACTCCCCCATCACTGTCTAGACTGTGAATTCAAAGTCCTGATGTGGGACTTTGTATCCGAGTAATATGAGTATTGCATACAGATAATATTTACTCATTATCTGTACATAAAGGTCTCGGTTTTTCAAATTAAGAAATAGTTGTCTGTTTTGAGATTTTGTTAATATAACAATAGATCCTAATTAAGGTTTTTTTTAAAAAAACTCAGCCAGTGGTTGCATTTCATTTCTATGTATAGTATTAGAATTCATTGTCAAATTTGGTCTTTGAGTCAGATTTGCAATTTATTTTTATATGAAAGGCATCATATGAATGAAAGTTATCATTACAGTGAAGTCTTCTTGTGAAATGGTGGTTGAATCCATAAAATTCAAAGGTTTGCTACATCAAGGTGTGCTAACCAGTTGCAATGTACATGCGCCCAACCTGCCAGTTTAGTGTGGAAGATGTTTGGTGTGCAGTGAGTTAACGGGCCAGCTGTATTCATGCACAGCAACAACAACAAGAAGATTCCATTTATAAAGCGCCTTTCACGTCAGGAGGACGTCCCAAAGCGCTGCACAGTTGGGTCATGACCCGAGCAGGGGGGAAATGGTCAGGGTGAGGGGAGGGAAGGGAGGGAGCGAGGAGTGGGGAAATGGTCAGGGTGAGGGGAGGGAAGGGAGGGAGCGAGGAGGGTGGTAATGGTCAGGGTGGGGGGAGGGAAGGGAGGGAGCGAGGAGGGGGAAGAGAGTCGAGAGGGGAGCTGAAGGCTCGGTCAAAGAGAAAGGTTTTGAGACCGGCCTTGAAGGAGGAGAGAGGAGGAGAGAGCAACAATGGGTCAACATAGCAAATGGGTTATAACTAAATTTATGCTATAAAGAAGCGTGTTATATCAAATCTGCAATATCATCCCCAATAATTTATTGTTGTGGTCCATCTGTTTTAATTTGACCTTTATGGCAATTTTTGTGGAAAAAGGGCTGTCTTTAGGCTTTTGTATACCTTGAATAAACAAACTTTAAGCTTTTAGTTGCTTCAGTTGTTAGTTGTGTGATGTGAGAAATCTACTGATGTTCTGTAAATAAAGTTAAAGACTTTAGAATATGCAGCAATATATTGAATACAGCTGGTGCATCTTCTAAAAGTGTGTAACATTAAAAGGTAGCAAATAAAGAGCTAGGAATATTCCAATGTAGACATGTTTTACCATTGAACAGAAGCAATAGATTGCTTGAAGAGACTCTGCAAGTCTGTTTCAGTAGGGGAGAGGATGTTTTGGGTCTTAAGCAGATGCAGACTAAATTGTTCTATGACTTATATGTCTTGATTTATTTGAATGTGGTAAAGCACAGCTTGAAAGGAAATGGGGGAAGAGAAACAACATAGACAGAGAACAATGTTTTGATGTGGCAAGCTTGTCTGAATTTAGGAGAATATGTAATTTTTCTTCTCTGGAATAATAGCATCTCACAGAAACGAGAGCCACATGTGGAGAATAGGAGACATGGTCTTTGGCTAACCAGCATGTCAGGATACACCTCCAAGCTGAAATTGGGATTCTATCCAATTTCTGTCAACTCTTGTTGCAATCTCTCAGGATGCATTCTTGATACAGACTCCAATGGGGCCTCTGCTTCTCCTACCTGGTTTTGAGTCGAGACAGTGCCTTTCTGCATCTTAAATATCAAAAGACATGAGGCTGGTGCTGTATCCTTAACAGTTTCAACAAAATGAGCGTGACCACCGTATTTTTTTTTGGTCTGACACATGAGAAAACCAATTATTGTGCTTAAGACAGAACTATTGTTCATTTGTTGAATTGATTTGAGGGTAAAGAAAACTACAGAGATCCCTCGTGTTTGTGCAACTGAGAGCTTGTAATTGAAATTACTGGCTCGGGTTATCATCATTCTCCAGCTGTCTCTTTTTATTTGAGATCCAGAATGAAATGGTGTAGAGCTTTGATGTCCCACAGTTAATGAATGATTGATAAGTGACAATGAGGTACTCATTGTATACTTGGGCTCAGGCAAGCCAGCATTACCTGAGCTCAATATTACCCCCCTCAACATTTAAATTATATGTAAACTGGTTGAATCAACCTGAGCCTTAAATTAGTATAACAAACCACAGCTGTGTAATGGCTTCAGGGGAAAAGAATTGACATCTGTGTCGTGGATTTTCAATGAACAGAACATTTAAGGAAATGCACATATTTCCAGATTTCCTCTTGGCACACTAACTGTGCTGCCCTTGAGAGTCCAGGGTCTTTTTCTGTCTCCCAGGATATAGCTCTCTGTTTTTTTTCCCCTGTTAAATGTTTGCAGATGACTTTAACAATTATGTCTTATACAAAAAGCATTGTGAAACACACCCTTTCGAGAATTTTCATAATCAACATTAATCAATTGTGATCATTTCAACGACCATGCAGCTAGGAAACTATGTTTTTATAGCATTACAAAGCATTTCCTTTCCATTCTTATGATTTTTCAATTAAGATTGCTCAACATTGTTCCTTTATTTTTTCCTTGAATGACTAAAGTTAGTCTGACCTTGCACACTTCTGCAGTGACCTGACATTTTTACAGCGAAGACTTTCATCCATTTAACATGTGTTTGAAATGCCAGAAACATAATCCAAACCTTTTGGTCTGACTGTGATGCATGTAAGTTCTGCGGAGTGTTCCAGTAACCAGCAGTTGATAAACTGCAAAATGTCACAGTGATTTTATTGCGTAGCACTATCTGATATGAGGGCCTAAATTATGGTCTATCTGAATATATGTGTTATCTCTGTGTGCTCTCCAACAGTGTTTTTGATATAAACAGATTATTTTCAATGGAAACTCCATTNAAAAAATAGAGTTGGGAGAACTTGACTCAAATTGAATTCCTCTTCTGTAGGGAGATCTTGTGACCGAGTGCTAATCAAACATTACTTTGGAGAAACCACTGTTTACTTCAGAGGCCTTTTTGTTGGCATCCCCTCAGTGGTGGTGCAGTTTGAAAGCTTTTTAGGCCCCAGGATTGTAAAAATGTAAGATACTTTGAAACACTTAGATATCTAAAAGGAGCAGAGGAAGGCTGACTAGTCTGAAATCCTTAATAAAACAAATGTACACATTCAAAACTCCTCCAGAACTCTATGACTACTGGAGTTTAAAGGTGCGGGAACACCTGCTCTGATTTGCAGAACAAACACAGAACAGTTAACGGAATTGAGAAAATATAGACTAATCCCCTATCATCTCTATTGAAAATAGCTTGTTGCACTTCCCATCATTTCAAAAATTGCTTACCTTGAATTCCTGGCATTTTTGACTTGGGGCTTTTCTAGCTATGTCCATGAACCAACTCTGCACTTATCGTTCTCAAGTAATGAGTGTGTGAGGTGTATCACTCACTAAGTCATTTCATCTTAATAATTTTAATTAAGATTGCATTTGATAGTGTTTTTTTATGTTGGGAGGCTGTCTCATAAGATGCTTCGCATAATTTACTGTAAAATGTGGGATTGCGTGAATGTGGTCCATTTCTTTTTGTACTAAACATTAGAACCTGGTAACAAGTAGACAACAATGAAAAATTAGATGCTAAATTAATTGTCTGTAGGCTAAATGTTTCCAGGAATTTTGAATTTTATTTATTGCCAATATTTTGCCCACAAAATATACAGTCAATTCAGTTGACAGTATACTCTGTGAATCGCTTTGAGACTTCTTGAAGACTTGATAAGGTGGTATATCAAATGCAAGCATTAGTATTAATGTTATTTATGATATATTTTGTGATGACTTTATTAAAATTAGATATTTATTTTCTGTGAAAGCCACTATTATTCCAGTTTCTCCCACTCTCAGCACTATGACTCATGCTAAAGTACAGTTTCATGCACATTTATTGCTCTTTGGATCATTTCACCAAATATCCATTTTTTATGTTTGAGTGTTGACAAGTTATTTAAGTATTTGGGCATCAGAGCCAAACCAGATTGAATCTTCAGCAACAATCCCACATGCACACTTTCCAAGAAGGGACAAGGGATAGTGATCAGCAACATATCTTTTAATATTTGAGATCACACCCTGATCCTCTGATTATCAAAAATTGTTTTCCAAAAGTTATTCAATGAGTGTTATAGCGTTATTAAAATATTTTGTTTACCCTTTATTGCTTCATTTCTCTAGAATCCTACAGAAAACAGAGGAACATTTGGTGTCCATCTGAGGGTGCTAGGAGACTGGACAGGTTAGTAAAAACTTTTATCAATATGTAAGTAGTTTGGCTTCCCTTAAGCTTACCACCAGCAAGAAGAATCCTAATTTTAGATTCTTGCCAGATTTATTCCAGAAGGCAATAGTCTGTGATCAAGATTTAGTCAATAAAGAACCTGATAGGTTTGTGCTATGCATCTGAGTTCACATTCTCGGAAGTTCAGAATTCTGGTGTCTACTCAGCGTTATTTCCTAATGGAATCTGAATGGGGACTCCTTCGAGTAACCCAATGTATGTCATACCAGAATTACTCCCAATGCAGTTCACTTCCAGATCCTGTCGATAGGCATTCGAATGATCTAAAAGCCTCTTCTAATTACTGCAGGTTAGATCCCTATTTAAAATATACATAAGCACTGCAAGGAAGTTGGATGCACTAAGTTGCCAGTATCATCACCAAACCCTAAATCACTCTTCACTCATTTAGACTCTCACCACACAACCACACCATGCCAACCCTGTGATCATTTAGAAGTCAGATGCACACCCACCAGTAGAGTCCTACACAAATGTCCATTTTGTTTCAATATTCGTAATTTAATTACTAATGGATCAAAGTTGGAGAGTTTTTGCTTTCCACCTCGCATTTAACCTCTAATTCGCAACAGTTAGTATGATTTTAAAACTTGCATTTAGCTGCTCATCCAGTTTGCTAAATGTTTGTTAAGATGGTGCAAATATTTGTATGAGAAGATAAAAATTCAAATTATGCCAGACTTCCCTGAAACGTGTCTTATGGGCATTTATAAAGAAGCTTTTCCAGTTAAATACATATCCCACTATACCATCACGATTTAGTATCTTTGTCTGACTTCAGCTTTATCAAATGTTCTCCGCAACCTATTTATTTCCTAAAGTGACAACAAATTCCAGCTGCACTCAGTATCACTCGTCTTGAGCCTGTTGTGTCATGCACTAGTAGGTATAGTTGACAAGCCCAGATTGGCCCGTAATGGACGATACGAAAATTGGGATTTTATTTCTTGGCCTGATTTAAGAGGCAAAAATAACAGTAATCTTATCAATTTTGCTTTCTTATTAAGCAATGATCAACTAAAGAAGCACAGAATTTTAAAAAATAAGAAAAATAAAGTAACAGAAGTAAATACATAAGTTGCCAGTTTCAAACGTTGGTTTTAACAGAAAATTCTAATTAGAAGTCAATAGTTTGGTCTGTTGCTTTCTGAAGACCAACTGTTCTGTGTTCTCTCACACTTCTCTCTTTTACAGATAAGTGTTTACCGAGATATTTTGCACCTTACAAAGTTTACACCTGTTCTTTGAACTTTAGCAAACCATTAAAAGATGGTAGCCCTTTGGTCATTGAATTTCAAGTTGATGAATTTCAAAGAGCTATTCAATTTGTGGAGGAAGAACAGATGAACATCAACACTAATATTATGTTTTGTTTACAGCGGAGTCTCTGTGACAAGACTCGTCTTGTTTACAATTGGTGTAAATGGAATTTATAGAACCAGTGAAATAATGGTCTTCAACAAGCTGCTAGCCTTTGTCCTTCCAGTATTCTTTTATGTAGGAATATAGTGGCTAATATATATTTTTAAAATTGTTACTGTATAGTCTGGTTTGTATACAGAAAATAAGCTTTCTATTTCATGTTGCCTATAATGCTGAAATATCTCAAAGTGCTTCACAGATAATTGGTGTCAAGTGTAGTGACTGAATATTTTAGTCAAATACTAGACCTTGCATTTATCCAAAGCTTATTTTAAATGTTTTGTAACAGTTCTATTTTGTATGTCAACTTTTTAAAATGATTCTTAAAGATGATATAAACCTTTAAAGTAGCTGCACAATTAAATATTTACATACAGAGCAATATATATTTGGTTTAGTTGTATTTTTCCATGTATAGTATTAGGTAGAACAAGTATAATCATTACTGGAACAGGTTACCAGGAGGTGTGGTTAGGACCAGGTTGCTAGACTCAGCTTTCTTGTAAGTTAGCTGAGTGTGACATGCAGAAACCCATCACCTTGCTGAAGGGTATCCAAACCTGAGTGAGAGATCCACCTATGCGTGTAAATTACCCTGTGTCTGGAATGGAATGTGAACTTTGATAAGGCAGGAAGGAATGAAGATCACAAGATTTGTTTGGATGAAGAAGACTCTATGGCCCATCTGATCTTATCCCTTCAAAATACCATCCCACTGTATTTTTCTGGCCTCAACCACCCTTCCTGTATTCTCTTCCAGTTGTTAAATTACCCTCTGGGTAAATATAGCCATTTAGGATTTGAGTAACCAAAGTGTTTATGGTATTCTAGGTATACTTCTGAAAGATGCAGAGGGAGAATTAATAAAACGCATTGCCTTTCTTGAAAGGGACTAATAGTGTTTGCCTTATTGGAGGCTTGTGTGGTGAATAAACACCAGCACGGATTAGTTACGACAAATGGTCTGTTTCCATGCCATATCATTTGATGTATGTCTTTACAGACACTCTGTGAAATTGTGACAATGGATCAGTATTTGGGTTGAAATAACAATGGTGTTCAACAGTATTCACTAGTGATAATAAAAAATAATAATAATCCTTGTATTTGATATAATGCTTTTCACGTCTTCTAGACACCTCAAAGTGCTTCACAGAATATATTGTAAAGTGAATTGACTGTATATTTGTGGGCGAAACACTATGAGTGATGATTCATAGTTACTGATAGGGAATCCTGCTGGTACTTGGCAGTAATCATGGCTGACTCACTGGATTCCACTCTGAAGCCACAAAGTAGATAACTGGAGTCAGTTATGATATACTACCAATTGCCAGCAGGACTTTGCAGTAACAACTCTTAATAGCTGTTGTTTTTCAACCCATTATTATGCATTGTGTTGCATAGAATTTTACTTAATTTAAAGATAACTATTTTCATTGTATCTTGATGTAGTAAATAATTTCTGTACATTGATTTTAATCTTCATGTTCTTGCAGAGAGATTCAGGGAGCTGCTACTATCTGAACCACACCAGAATGCAGAAATTCTGCCCATATTACAGCAGAGAAAATACCCAAAGTAAGGCTGAGCATTATACTACTGCTGTTAATTATACCACAACATATTTTTTCTGCGTAAGTTTCTTTTTCTTAAAAGCTAAAAGGTTAATATTATGATATTTACACCCTGATACTATGATCACTTGTTCCATATATTTGGCTCCTATAATGGATAGGAGGGGCTTAAAAAAAATTCTGACTAAATACATAGAGTGATAAGGCATGGAAGCAGGACATTGCCCCAAAACATCTGTGCCAGTGTTTATACACTACTCGAGCCCCCACCCTTCCTATTCTCCTTTTTGAGGCTCCATAAACAAATATGACGAGTTGCCACTGAAAAGTACCTTGCTTGTCTATTTGATATTTATCTTTCTCTCACATTTTATGAACTATATATGCATATATGACTATCCGTTTGAAGAAGCCATATTGTCTAATGAGATTTTCATTTTCTGTTATTATTCTTGGAAGAGATAACTAGTTTCTTGATATCCATAACTAAATTTACCATTTTACCAAAGTTTCAAAATGTATGTCAATGCTAAAATTTGGATGAAGGAGCTTTTTCATATTTCAGTATAGAATTTGCAAAGATTATTTTCCAAGTCATTTTCAGTATTGACCAATGTTACCATTTTTTTAAATATCTGTTTAAATGGATTCTTCCCAAAGACCGACACACATAAACTTGTGTTGATGTCTGCTGATTTCCAGAAGCAGTGTGCTTGTTCCTAGTTCTTTCAAGGAACAAATGTTCTCATTTAATTTGCTTGTCATAAAATTCTTCAGGCAAGAGTTCAAAGTTCTTCAAACTTCCACACAGAATCCTCAGTGTTTGCTTTCTTCTATAAGGCATACCTCCAGGTACAAGAATAAAAAGAGAATTGTAGTTATCCTCATTGTCTTTGATAAAGGAAAGTTAGATTCCTTAACTTTCTTACTCTGAACATCATTTACTGTTTCCAGATTCAACTGACAGAATATACAGTGCTATAGTACAGAGTGAGGTTTGGAGCAGTATTTCCCAAACACACAAGTACAAAGGGCTTTGAGATGTCTCGAAGGCGTGATAAGGCACTATATCAAATGCAAGGATTATTATGAAAATTATTAATGACTTGATTCTCGAGGACTCACCCAAATCAAACATTCTCGCTTCAATGCAAATATTATTGTCCCCAAAGATTTCCACTCTTAATACCTATAACTTTTAACTAGAAAAGATTTGTTAATTTGTGTCAAAATCATGATTACAACATATTGGGTGTTTTACATTAATTATATCCTTTGCTTATTCAAACATTGTCCCTGGTTCATAGAATTCATGTCATCATGTGGCAGCTTCTCATTTGTTTCTGGAAGGAAACTCATCTGCTGAACACCCAATCCCTATGTTTATGAAGGGGGTCTGGAAAATCAAGTCAAATCCTCCCTGGCATTTGAATCTTGTTCTGAGAAAGCTTATGCCTGGCTCATGATTTTCTGTAAATTTAAATTTCTTACATTATACTGTAGTTGCTGTGATTTCAGTTCTTAGGTTTGGTAGGTGTCATCGTTTTAGCGCTCCATCTTAGCTTGTTTGCATTTTGGATAAGAGAATCAAAAATCCACCTCATTATTTTGATTAAAATTTTATCAAACTTTCAATATTCTGATGAAATAATTTATCCCGTTGCTACAAGCTTCTCTGTCAAACGGAAGTGTTGGTTTGTTGGCGTCCACAGAATTTTAACATTCTGTAAAGACAGAATAAATTTTGTAAGTTTCAATAATTATCTCATTCATTTATAGCAATGAAATGTTAGATGAGCCTATCTCCAAGCAAAGGTTAATGAATGAAGTTGAATGTTTTTCCTCATACAGCAGTATTCTCTGTTGGTCATAATCTAGAAATAAAGGTAATGCTCCTTCTACTTCTGATTTGGCACATTATGAGTTGCAGAGAATTATGCAAAGTTTTTTTTCCAACATGTTGTCTGAAGAGAAGATCTTTGGGTCAACATACATGCTTTCGTGAAGCATTAATGGGATTCAAGACATTTATTGAATGGGTTAACCCAATGAAAAAGTGCCCACAATATAAACTGATTTTTTTTTTGCAGGGAGCCCCATATACATCATCCTGACTGTCTCTAACCCAAGATCTCCTCAGAGTTGAAGTATTGTGATGTTTCAGGGTTCCCTTGGGTAACTGCAGTTTCCATTGTGTGTGTATTTTTCAAGTAGTTACTTGATTGAGCGATTTTTCAACCTGATAGTCTTAATCTCAAAGAATTCCAGAAAGCCAAATTTCAATTTAAGATTGAATTAAGAATGTTCCAAAATTGTGCAGAATCTTAAATTCTATGACAATGCACTTGTAGCTAAGACCATGAAAAATTAGAAATTCCAGGTCTCAGGATCTCATCTCTCCTTGAATCTTTCCTTTAAAAAAAAGCATCATAATTTATTTATAATAATAATCCGTGCACATATAGTTCATTTCACATTGGGAGGACTGTTTGTGGGACACTGCTGTGCACAAATGGCTGCCGCGCTTCGCCCACAAAACATACAGTCACTTCACTTTATGGTATATTCTGTGAAGCGCTTTGAGAAATCTCGAAAACATGAAAAGCGCTATATCGAATGCAAGGATTTTTTTTATTGTATTCTGTAAAGCGCTTTGAGAGGCTTGAAGACATGATAAATGCTACATCAAATGCAAGGATTATTATTACTAGTTGTATGGCTATGCATACATAATGTACCGTAGTTGCCATAAATTAGTCTGTTTATAGTTTCTTAACCAAACCTCAAACTGCACTGTTTATGGGAGAACTTTATAAAGTTCGAGTACAATAACAACTTGGATTTATATAGCGCCCTCCACATCGGACAGTGTCTCAGAGCGCTGCACAGTAACGGATCCCAGGCCTGAGCCAGGGAGAGGGGGAGGAAGGTGACCAAAGGCGCGGTTGAAAAAAAAGGTCTTCAGCCGAGACCTGAAAATAGGAAGAGAGGGGGCGAGGCGAAGGGAGTGAGGAAGGGAGTTCCAGAGCCTCGGGGCAGAGTGGCTGAAGGCACGGTCGCCGAGCGTGGAGCGGGGGACTCGGGGACGAGGAGGAAGCCAGACCCGGTGGAACGAAGGCAACGGGCACTATTTTGAGGAGAGAGGAGGTCAGAGAGGTAGGGGGGTGCAGAGGAGTGAAGGGATTTGAAGACAAGGGTGAGGATCTTGAAGTCGATCCTCTCTGGGACAGGCAGCCAGTGCAGTCTGGCAAGGACTGGGGTGATCGGGGAGTGAAGTTTGGTGCGGTTAAGAATGTGGGCGGCAGAGTTTTGTATGACCTGGATTTTACCTGGATGGTAGTGGAGGGCAGACCGGCGAGGAAGGCATTTGAATAGTCCAGCCGAGAGGTGACAAAGGCATTGACCAGGGTTTCAACGGTTTTTGGAGTGAGATATTGAGGTACCAGTGAAGTACAGTACTGCAGCTTTAATTGTTGGTTCTTAAACCTGCCATGCTCTTCATTAGCACTGCAAACCTACTAATGTCAGAATTTTGTTTCTATTTCTGTGTACTACATTCTTTCACTGTCTTTTTACTTGTAGTAATTAACATGATCTGACAGCTACCCTCTCTATAATGCATGACTTGCCTTTGAGGGCACAATGGAAAATGTTCACAGTTCAATCCTAAGTGGACATAGAGAAATATCTAGTAGTTTTCCTGTCAGCATTTTTCCTGTCTCTCCAGTCTGTTTGCCCTGAAGCACAGCTTCCGAAACAATTAGCACCTTATCCAGTGCTCACTAATCATTAAATGAGGACGAATGATTTCCGACAAAGTGATGGGAGACTGACAAGAGAGGGATTGATCATTGAAATGTGTATTATTAAATTGTCAGTTGCTTTTAGGAACAAGTTAAATTTTCCAACAACAAAACTAGTACTTAAGAGGGTCATTATCATGCTACTAGAAAGGCCAGGGAGGTGAATGATTACATTAATAGTCTAAGCAGCTTGAACAGTTATCAGTCATGACAGCACTCTGCAGCATGCTATTGGAGTGTAGGCCAGATATAAACATTTCAATAACTATTTCTGAAGAGTTCAATCAGTATGATCTTTATATACATTACTTCTAAGTTTGGACTGTACAAAAATGGCACTGGGATTACAGGAGACCAACATGTTCAGAATTGCTGAATTGGCAGTTGAATTATTTAAGCAATTTCAGTGGCTGACAATCTATTCTTGATGATGGTACTTCTTCCATTGAACTCTTATGTGGATTTTATTTCTGTACTGTCACTGTTTGGTTTAAACATTGATGAAAGAGCATTAAAGTAAAGTAAGAACACAGGAAAGTATGAATGGAGAAAAGGTCATTTGCTCCACACAGGTTATCCCTTCCTTCCAAAGCACTGTAGAATAAATCTTGTAAATTGTTCCATTAAACACATATTTAGATACTGTATTGTGGAAAACCTGGAATATGCTGGGATAGAAATTTAATATATTCTGTGTATATTTTGATATTGAGCTTGTGTTACATTGATTGTTCATACGTTTTTTAATTTAGATTTCACTGACTAATCAAATCTTTTGAAACCATTTGAAATCAAGGGTTTCAGCTAGGCTTGTGCCTTGCTAAAATTAACAATCTTAATCATTCTTTTCAATCATTCTTAGTTATTGCTTTTGTGATGTTTGCAATAATATTAGTGTTTTTACCCCATGTCTATGTTTACTTTTTAAATATTCACTAAATCATCACTACAACTATTATTTACAAGTATGTGGTAAGAGTTACTTTTTTTTATTAATACATACCATGTCCTAATTTGCCAAATTTGTACTTCACCTCCAAATACATAGTCAATACACTTTACAGTAAATCATATTAATCACTGAGACATTTTGTCAACAAAATCAGACACTATCAAATGCAACGATTCTTAATATTATCAAAATTAATTGGTGCAAGGAATACAATATGGAATATCTGCAACTTGGTTTCTTAATTAATCATCTTCCTCACCTTCCTCAGTACACTGTCCCAGCCTTTGATTCACACTGCCACTCCTCCAGATTAGCGATTGGCATTCCGGTATAAGAAAATAACTATAAAGTTGGTTAACGTATCGAGAATCTAACTCCGTACAGGAATTCCAATATTTATCTTCCTCATAAATGATTTTATAGTCTGTTTACTGTGTGTTGTTTCACATTGCACTGCCAGCAACTGTTTTGGAAGAGCAGCTGACTGGTTCAGAGGCAGTAGATTCATTTCTGAGGTAAGTAAGCAAACTTTACACCAACACTAATAAAGGAACAAATGTGTGGATATTCCTTAATGTATTCCTTCTACTAATTGAAACAAAAAATCCATAACACTGTAAATTTTCCTCCTTTAACTCTTGAAAGTGTACACTGGGCACTCCATTGGACCAGTTGGTTAGTGCAAACCCCAGTACAGAAACACAGACCAAGAAGATTGTAGATTCATTCCTAGTCTGTTCTATGTTAGCTGAAAACGGCAACATATTTGTAAGTGTGATACAACTGACTGGGTGTGGTTGGGGGAGAGGAGGGAAGAAGGAAAAATCAGTCAGGTCTTGTACTCCTTTTGTGAATTTTGCAAACAAGAAAGGGAGAGACAGTGAGATTCCTATTAAAGTATCATCACCTCCCACCTCGACTATTTAAATGCCCTCTTTGCTGCTCTGCTATTCACAAAATTCAACTAACTCAAAGCTCCGCTGCTCGGATTCTCGCTAAACTCTACCTCCATTACCCCAGACCTTGTCAAACTCCATTGGCTCTCTGTCACAGAGCGGATTGATTCCAATCTCCTCACTCTTGTATTCAAATTCCTTCATACCCTGGCAACCCCCTATCTCTCCAACCTGCTCTCTCCCTAAACTACTACCCGCTGTCTCTGCTCAACTGGCTCTGACCTCCTCCTTGTCCCCAGATCCTCTGCCCCACCATTGGTGGTCGTGCTTTCAGCCCCAAGCTGTGGAACTTCCTCTTCTCTTTGCCCCCTCTCTCCCCATTTTCAGGTGACGTTTGAAGACCTTCCTCTTCAGCCATGGCTAAGGTCACCTTCCCCCTCCCACTGGCTTGGCATCAGGCTCCGCCACTGTTAAGTGCTCCAAGACGCCATCCGGCGTGAAGGGCGCTATATAAATGCAAGTTTGTGTTGTTGGTTCAAGTTTAATGGCCAGACTGTTCCCTAGGCCTCTGCCAGTGCTGATCTGAAACATTTCACTGGAGAGTGAGAAAGAACAGCTTGGGATAATTGATGTTCTCTCCATTTAAGGTACATGAACAGTTGATAGGTCACAGAGTAGTTGTGAAGGGAGATTTTAATTGCAATATAGATTGGGAAAGAAATAGCAGTACAAATAGAAAAAAAAATGCATTCTAATCTGTTTGTTCCTACATTCATCTGTTGTATCATCACATAAGAACATAAGAAATGCTAGACGAAAAAGACCAAGGTCCATCTCGTTTGCCTTCAACCTTCCTGTCTAATCTAATTTGTGTTTGAAAGAATCAACACTTCCTGCTTCTGAATCCTGAATCTTAAAGACAGCAATCACGGTCAGGAGATCTATATAAAACACGCTACCAATGTTTTACATGCCGTCCTATCTATACTTCTACCCACAATGATTCTATCTGCTGATTACATCAAATATATCTCTCCTTTCAACAGTGTGTGACTTTTATTAATAATGCTACTCTTCTTCCTGTTTTCCCTTTACTTTCTTCAGATTGTATAACCTGTTTTATTTATATGTAACCAAGTCTCTATAATTGTTATCACATTGAGCCTCTTATGCGTACATCTAATTCTCCCACGTTATTTGTAATACTATCATAAGTAATAAGCTTCTCTACCTGCTTTCATTCTCTTTTTTCTTGCACCTCTCTTAGTTATGTTGTTGAATTTTATCATTGCTAAATTCCTTTCTCCATTTTCCTCAATGCTTACTTCCCTCTCTGTTTATTTTTCTTGTTTCTTCTCTCTCCTGTCATGTTACTATAAAATATCTTCCACACCACTAGTTACTCAACCAGTGAAGACATTCATCCTAGCCCTGTTCAGTTGAAGCCTGTCCATCCCGTATAGGTCACTGATCCTCAGAACAATGAGCCAGAAATGTGAAACCTTCCTTTCAACACCATCTCTGCAGTCATGCATTTACTTACTTTATAGTACTAATTCTTATGCTGAATAGCCACTACTTTTATGCTGACTATTCCTGAAATTACTACCTTTCAGCTCTAGTTCCCTTGAGGTATAACTATTATTGCAGAGATCTTGATGGATCTTGTCAGGTTTGTGCTTGGTAATTTCCAAATGACAGCTAAATGTTAGGTGCCATATCCTGAACTGAGGCTGAAAAGAATCTTCATAATGAACAGACTGTCTCTGATATTTTGTCACTTAGACAAGTCTCCCCTGGTGTTTTTCTTGTTAGGAACCTAATCTAATCTCAGTCTTCTGCTCACCTTTCTTGCCGTTCAAACAAATATGTCTTTCTACGAAGTAAGAAACCAAAAGAATAATTGACTAAATTCTTTTGTGAAAATTTAGTGCATTGTTTTAATCTTACAGAATGCATTACCAATCGTATGGGCATAGATTTAATTTTTTGTCTTTTGAAATATGCAGCAGTAACATATTAATGATCAATAATAATCCAAACTTACATGTATATTGCAGAGGTCTATTGTTTCAGGTCTCAGATAACTAATCTAATTTTGGCCATGCTTTCAGCCCTATACCCTGAAACTATGAACTCTTTGGCTCAGACCCTATGCCTTGTCTCCTTCCTCATCTTCAGATCACACTTGAAGACATTCTCTTTGACTGTGCCTATGGTTATCTCCCTCTTCTCCCCAGCACAGGAGTGTAGAGGGAGCATAAAGGTCGCTATATAAATGCAATTTATTGTAATTTGTGATTCCGTCGTCTCTATTTTCAGCTTGCATTTAAAGCTGTGACTTCAGAGGAATGAAGAAAATGTGCACCACTGCATGTGTAGACACACATGGTACTGGATCTGTAGCTACTCAATGACTTGGAACTGTCAGGAAGAAATCTCTGTGTCTTCACTTTTACTCTTAAATGTTACCTACAATATCTTTTATATTGATGAATCCTATGGTCTGCTACCAAGTAGCTATTAATACAGAATATATCCAATCGGACATGCAATGTAATCTATTCTTCAAAGGATTCAATTTCTTAAAAGTAAAAAGTGCACAGATATACTAGAGGGTGCTCATCAGAAGATAAGAGTGTGTTGAGGCATGTTGCTTACTCTGCACCTGCTTGCTGTACAACAACAACAAGATTACATTTGTATAGCGCCTTTCACATCGGGAGGACGTCCCATATAGGTAACCTGAACGGTTTAATGCCAACCGTGGATGCAAAATAATGGAAGAGTATTAAACACTCAAAACAATTCAACAATCACACCGTATATATATATATTAGATATATTACATATATAAAAGAAGTTTAATCTTTTATAGCATAATATAATGTTGTGCAGAGCTTGATATTTGTCAGGCATCCTGTCAGAACAGCAATGGCCCTAGAATCAAGGGTAGAGGCAGAAATATAGAGTTGGTTGTCATCCACATAAAGATGGAAGTGGACCCCACAGTTGCAGATGATATCACGAAGGCGGAGTATATAAATGAGGAAAAGGAGAGGGCCAAGGATAGAGTCCTTAGGAAAACGACACCTGATTACTCAGGAGCAAAAGGATAAGCTGTTAGATGAGAAATAGTAAAGACGTTGGGATAAGTAGGGTTGAAGCCAATATTGTGTAGATGTAATCCATGGAGATGCACCATGTAGCAAAATGGTGGAGGAGGATGGAGTGGTCAATGGTGTCAAAAGTGTCAGAAAGATCAAAGAGATTCAGAGAAACCTGGTTGCAAATTGAGGAAGTTGTTTGTAACTTTGACTAGGGCTGTCTCGGTGCTCTAAATGAGCTGGAAACCAGATTAGAGGGACAAGGAATGGTGGGAGAGGAAGGGGAAAACTTAGGAGCTAATGACACATGAGTCTTAGTACCAATATCCCATATAGAAGCCAGCACTAAAGTTTCAGATTTGTTCTGGCAATATAATATAAAGTACATCAATCTGGAGTATGTTCACATTAATTTAATTTTATATAATACCAATGTAATCACAGTGTCCAATATATTAAACCTAATACCTGTACCAATCTCAATTTCAGACGAGTACATTTGGGTACAATGCTAGAATTGAGCTTTACGTTTCATAGATGAGCTCATGCCTCTATTTAGTTGACAACTCGAAGAGCAAGTATTTTAAAACCTCTGTGGGTGTTTATGGATGGTGTAGCTTTGAAGACAGAACTATGCTTAATGCTGGAAAAGTGTTTCCTCGTGGGAATAAATTATTATCATGCATATTGCCGGTCATTTTCTAGTTTGTTTAATTACCATGCCAGCGACTTCCAGATCGTTTTTGTAAATTTTACTAATAGCTGTAGTAAAATAAATTGTAGTGTTCTCTTGTTTTGCAGTAATACCTCCTCAAAAAAAATCTTCATATCTTTATTATTGCTGATTGCGGGAAAATGTTAACATTGTGTTTTTTTAACAGGTTGTATATTGATGGTCCATTTGGAAGTCCCTCAGAGGAAATCTTCAACTATGAGGTTAGCCTTTGTGTGGCCGGTGGTATTGGAGTGACCCCTTTTGCTTCAGTACTAAACACACTATTGTACGTGTATTTCCTTTTTGTCTGATAGTTTTATTGATTGTTAACCTATATTCATTAGTAAAGAAAAGTTTTGTTGGTTCTAACCTAGTTATGAGGTAATTCAAAGGAACTAAGTTTGAACTGTCGACCCTAAGCTATCTGTTTAGAATACAAACTGTCATTTAATTCATTTATCCTCTTTACACAAATTGATAACACTTTCTTTATAATTGCTATAAAAATGTCGCGATAGTTACACCACATGTCACAATAGTAAAGCTCCCTCTCCTGGTTAGTATACATATAATTGTGGAGATGAGCCCCTGATCATCTCTTGGTACTGGCCAGTTTAGGCTCTTTATTGTGAAGTTAATTAAGGGAAATCTCCATAACTGTTAATCTAGGATTTCCCATCAAGAACTCTTGAGTTGCTATCAGGGAATCCCATTACAAATGGCCACTTTTTAGACCCCGTTGCCTCAGTATTGCTTTTCTTGACATACTTAATTCCTCGAAGAGCCAGGAATAGTTCATTGGGAACTACTGTACGTTACAGCATATCAAGTGCAGTTGAGTGCATCCTGAAATATAAGCGAGATATGATGTAGTGCATATATTTATAATTATTTTTAATTATGATTATAAAATTTGCTAAACTAAAATGTGGAACACAATGGCACAATTACATCACTAAATTGTGTTGTCATTCATAGCTTAGTTTCCAAAACTGGTAAAGTATCCAGCAAAGCAGCTTACCAGGTGTAGGTACTCTTTGCTATAACATTCTCTCCTGCCCCGCTCATAGACTTGGAGTTACAGTTCTTTTCATCTGTGGAACCCAGTGCGAAATCCAGCTCAGATTAATGGCCTAAAAGTTGCCTCCTTGCTGCCCGCTATGAGGGTTGCATATCGATTTAGATTTAAATTGTCTCAATTCAGCTCAGAGTGGTATGGACATGAGGGGCTGAATGGCCTCCTTCTGTGCTGTATAATTCTATGATATCTTCTGTGTAGTTTGCCATTAATTTAGCAATAATTGAGCCATCTTGATCAGAAGGGCAATAATGGTGGTTAATGGGGAAAATAGAAATTTCATACTGATGCAGTCGGGAATAAGTTTCTAGAATGAAGTTCAGAGAAACACACATTTATTTAACACCTGGAAAGTCTTTCATATGAAAGAATAATATTACAGATTTTTTGCAAAGGAGAATTAAAGATTGTTTATTGATCAATCATAAATTAAGCAATTTAAAAAAATAATGTTTGGTTCTGAATATTTATAATTTATTTGAAATGAGTGTACGTTTATTGTCTGTAATGAGCATCTGCTGTCATAAACAAATATTAATGCATTCTGATTTTTGAAAATTATATTTGAGTAGGCTCCACTATCGGTACAATGTATTGCTCATTGTTGGCAAAGGGTGGTCAAATAACCAATTATATCCTACTTAAACTCTTCCAATGCATTCCTCGCTGATTTTTCTAGCTCTGTATCCTCATCTGCACCAAGCCCCACACACCCATCTCCCTTGGTTCTCTGCCTCTCAGCAAATTGATTTCAAAGACCTCCCCATCACTAATCCATCCACTCACTGGCACATCCTTATCTCTTCAATTTTCTCTTACCTACTCCTCCGCTTGAGCCCCTCCACTCGGCTAATTTGGGCTTGCTGAGCAGGCTCCACCCTCTCTGTGCCATGATAGGTGTCTGAGCTCCCAATTTCTACGCCCTTAACTTCTGGAACTCCCTCTCTCCACTGCATCTCTTCCTGTTTTCAATCCCACCTCAAAGCCTATCTCTCCGAGCGTGTCTTTGGAGACCCCCATCAAACCTGGCCTTATAAAGTGCTCTGAGACTTATGCGAAGGCTGCTGTGTTACTACAAGTTGTTGTTGCTTATATAATGACTAAATAAGCCCACAGCACCTTGGCACCTGCGTGTTACTACATTGCACATAAAAATAAATGTCTTCAATTGTTATAAGTGGAGCTTAATTAGGATTAGAAGAGACATGCCTTTTATTAATCTTGGGCACTTTAGTTTAAGTTCTTTATGTAAATTTACCTTCCACATGTTCTTGAACTCAATAATTCCATTCAACAATGCATTGGATTGATTTCAAGGTTGTAACCTTGCCTCTGGAATTAAATAACAGTTAGAAATAAGTTGATTGTTGCTCACTTTGCTGATAATATCATTTGATCGCCTCAATAAGATTATTACCTTCTGGCCATTCCTGGGAACTTTGCTTACAGGAATAAATGCTACATCTGATATAACATTTAAAAACAAAAGACCTATTCCTTAATTAATTATGTGAGTGTAGCCATCGTAAAACAGTTACTTTTTTGCACTTTAGAATAACAGTAAACTGCTGACAAATAGTTAATCCAAGTTTCAGTTTAAATTCAAAACTGATGTCAGACTTTTAAGTGGATTAGAGTTAAAGTTGGATGGTGCCGTACTTTAGGATAACAGCATGCTTCAGTGTCAAAGTAATAGAACATGGGTGGCAACTTCAATTGTTTGCTCGGTGAGCAACCAGTCTAAGCAAGGTGTGAACGTAACTACTGAGTGGAGTTATCCAGTCACACCTACTGGAAAGTTGAAAGGATTCGGACTAGATCAGTGATATTCCCACTACTGCAGTCTGCTTAAATTCACTGATGAAAAATGGCCATTTGTGAGAGGTACATAAAAACAGTTGGCATCTTTGGAACCATATATCTGTGTGAATCAAGAGAGGGGAGAATTTGAGTTAGGTGAGGTAGGATTTCACACCCATGTTCAATCAATCTTGACTAGCAACTAGGGCATATTCACTTGAGTGACAATTTGGCCTATAAATTGCACAGTCCCTAGACTTTACACTAAATCCCGTGAAGTGTTTTGAGATGTCTTCCCAAGGTGGAAGACCTGTATCAAGTGCAATGATTATTAACGCAAAAAAAGTGTTTTCTAACAGCAGTGTGCTGAGATCAAAAGGAGCTTTACAATGCCACAACTGAAAGCATTTACAGGTAGTTACATTTTATTTTACTGAGCTAATAAAGGCGTTGACACTAATTTAGCTGCTTCAATGGGCTCTGAAAGTATTTGACCTAAATTTGAAATGTGAAGTTGGTGATGCTTTAGCTATTTCGTTGCTTTTTTTTCTTTTAGATATGACTGGAAACAATATAAACTCAGAAGACTTTATTTTATCTGGGTGTGCAGGGAAATCCAGTCTTTCCACTGGTTTGCGGATTTGCTGTGTACATTACATAACAAGGTAAGAGCCACAGTGAATATCAAAAAGAAATCAACCTCCAATGCTAATGCTGAAACAAAAGCAGAAGTCGTCGCTGGGAACACTCGGCAGGTCAGGCAGCATCTATGGAGAAAGGAAAGTGAGTCAATATTTCGGGTCCATGACCATTCTGACGAAGGGTGTGGACCCAAAATGTTGACTCACTTTCCTTTCTCCATAGATGCTGCCCGACCTGCTGAGTGTTCCCAGCGACTTCTGTTTTTTGTTTTAGATTTCCAGCATCTGCAGCATTTTGCGATTTGTCTAATGCTAATGCTTCCTGTTATAAAGGGTTTAAAGCCACCATCAACAGTCAACAAAGGGACTGGATTTGTTTTCAGGGTCACTTCAGCAATTTCATTTCAATCTAGATTAGAGATAAGTAAACAGTTTGGATTCTGATTGGACCTTGGCCTGTTCTAACTGGTATTTTCACTATGCTTATTTCATGTTCAATATCTGAATTAAATGCCAGAATATTTCTTGTTGTACTTGTACTGTAGCTCAGCGGTTAGAGCGCCTGCCTTGCAAGCGAGACACCTGGGTTCAATTCCAGGCAGAGTGAAACCTTGGGGAAGTTTCCTTACTCAACAAGCCTAATAATAATCCCTCCAAAACAAAAAAACAATAATAAATTGGTCAATCTCAATCCACGACTGTTTGTGGGACACTGCTGTGCGCAATTGGCTGCCGCATTTCGCCCACAAATATACAATCAATTCACTTTACAGCATATTCTGTGAAGCGCTTTGAGACGTCGAGAAGACGTGAAAAGCGCTATATCAAATGCAAGGATTATTATTATTATTAAAGTAGTCCTCATTTAAATTATGATTTAAAACTGATGGAATGGCCCAAATAAAAATATGACTGTTGAAGGGATATGCAGATCTAAACTATCTAGTCATATTGACTCCAGATAACTCATTTAAGAGTTAAATGTGAAGGTTATTATTCAAGTAAGTATTTTAAGTATAAATTGCGTATTTTTAAATTACTATTGTCATTTCAGGGAAGAAATGTATGTTAAATAATAATCTAAGGACGTCTCGGTTGAGTTTTGTTCATTTATACATTTGGGGGTTTGGGAGAGAGCATGACACAGACCAGATTTGTTGGAGTAGGGAGAGTGGCTGGGTGAATAGGACTATAGGAGATCACAGCGATAATCCTTCTCCTCCTTCGGAGAAGTAAGCAGGTTCTTCGTGGATCTGAGTTGACTCTAATATGACTTGCCTGGCAATGGAATATCAGAATCAATTATCTGTGGTGGTCTCAATTTCTATTCCAGGTGAGGCTGCAGTACACTAAAGCATTGTTGATCCTACATCTCTGACCTACTTACTCCCAACCAACTACCCATTGCCTCTATTTGACTGGCTCCGGCCTCCTGCACATACTTTGTGCCCTCTGTTCCACCATCGGTGGTCGTGCTTCTCAGCCACTACGCCCTGAAACTCTGGAACATTCTTCCACTATGCCACCATGTTTCTCCTTCCTTCCCCATCTTCAGATGATGTCTGAAGACCTTCCTTTTTGAGCGTACCTACGGTCACCGCCCCCCGGCTCGGCGTCATGCTCCGCCACTGTTAAGAGCTCTGGGATGCTACTCAATGTGAAGGGTGCTATATAAATGCAAGTTGTTGTTAATGGCAGACCAGTCAGCTTGGATTGTCAACAGGGCTTGGATTGGCAGAATGATCACTGTCTTCCGATTAGGGTCTTCCTTGCTAGATAAGCAGCTGAAAACTTGCCACACGGTACTCACAGTGACAAGCTATGCCGTTTTAGCTGGTTAAACTCGAGCAGTACCCTCAACACGCGTACTGGGGTCAAGTTAGTTAGAACCAAGCCTTGGTTCTCACAAACTTGTGCCTAATTTGGGTACTCTCAGATGTGGTCATGGGTTCCTGCATATATCACATCTGGCTAACCAAAAAAAAGTCATTTGTAAAGTTGTAAGAGGCTTAGAAGATACAATGTATTTTCACTCTGGAAAATAGTTGTACACATGCGATACAAATGCATATCGTATGCATATGCGTATGTTGTCTTGCATCCTGAGTGTGTTCTTTCGACCATGGCTTCTTCTCATTGACATTTGAACTTTCCACTCAGATTTACCAGAATGGTACAAGCAATGAGTGACTTAAATTAAGTGGAGAGATTAGGGAAGATAGGATTGTTCTGTTTGGGGCAGAGAAGGTTAAGGGAAGATTTAATGGTGGTGTTCAAAATTATGAGGAGATTTAATAGAGTGAACAGGGAGAACCTATTTCCACTGGTGGGTAGTTCGGTGACGAGAAGACACAAGTTTAAGATAAAAGAACCAGAGGGGAGATGAGGAGAAATGTTTTCACACAGCGAGTTGTTCGGATCTGGAATGCACTGCCTGAAAGAGTGGTGGAAGCAGATTCAATAAAGTTTCAAGAGAGAAAGTGGATAGATATTTGGGGAGGGCAAATTTGCAAGGCTATGGGGAGAGAGCGGGTGAGTGAGACTAATTTGGATAGCTCTTTCACGACGGGCCAAATGACCTCCTTCTGTGCTGAATAATTCTATGATTCTATATAACATCCATATGATGCTATGCTCAAGTAATACATAAAGTCAAAGTTTTATTTACTGTAATAGTCATTCTTCAATATACCATAATACCCATGGACTTTATAATAATAATAATAATCCTTGCATTTGATATAGCGCTTTTCTCAACATCTCAAAGCGCTTCACAGAATATGCTGTAAAGTGAATTGACCGTATATTTGTAATAATAATAATAAATAATAATAATAATAATAATGGACTTTAGTACTTATCCAGTGAAAGCTTATCAGCTGAAGCTGGGCATATTAATGGCCTTACAAGTTATGCTGTTCTAATTGATTTTGACAGAACATTTTTCATTTCCAGCTTTGGCAGGAGAATCGGCCAGATTACTTGAACATTCAGCTGTATCTCAGTCGAACAGATGGGATACAGGTAATTTAATACTACTTGCTTTCCTCGTTGGTCCCCAGCTACCCTCATTCTATTGTCCCAACCATTCCCAATTAATTTAGTACTGGTACACATCATGTTTGCACAGTATCAATTTTCTTTCTGTGATGAAGTCTATCAAAGTCACCCTTTTCAGTACATTGTGATATATTCAAATGTAATCACTGGAGGTAGGCTCTTTAATCAAATTGAAAATTATGCATCTTGTTGTTCTGTTCATTATGGTTTATTAGAATCCATTATTTGGACATTATTTCAAAATTGCAAAAACATGATAATAAATGCACAATACTGGTTTCAAAAGATAATTAATTTATGCAGTGATGAATAGAATTTATTAATTGTTATGTGCTTTCCGAAGTATTGACATTAGAAAGTACAAAAACCCTGACCAATTTCTATTTAATTAAGTAGAAATTTCACCTTGTCTAGATTTACTCTATTAACGTAGCATTTCAGAATGTGCAGAATATTACCAAATCGTTAAACTTAATTTTACATTTGAAGCCCATTTTCTGTAATTCTTAAAATATTTCACAGAAAACACAGTTCAATAATAATCTTGTATTTAAGATTGTTAAGTTCTGTTTGCTCTGAGATGTTGGTTGATAGAATAATCAATCAGTAGTCCTGTAGCTCAGAGGTTAGAGCACTCGCCTCTCAAGCGAGAGACCTGGGTTCGATTCCCGGCAGGGCAAAACCTTGGCCAAGTTTCCTTATTCACACGTCTGATAATAATCCCTCAAGAAAAAAACACAATAATAAAATTGGTCACTTCAATCCACAACTGTTGTGGGACAGCTGTGCGCAATTGGCAATTGGCTGCCGCGTTTCGTCCAAAAGTATACAGTCAATTCACTTAACAGTATAATCTGTGAAGCACTTTGAGATGTTTCGAAGACATGAAAAGCGCTATATCAAATGCAAGGATTATTATTATTATTATTAACAAGACGGAAGCCATACTCCTTGACTCCGGTCAGCGTCTTCACTCCTGCGGCTCTAAACTACTGAACCTCCCTGGGCTCTCTCTCAGACTCACCGAACCAGTGCGCAATCTAGGCTTCCGGTTCAACCTCCAGCTGTCCTTGCTCCCCCACATCTGGTCCCTGACCAGACCGCCTTCTTCCACCTCCACCACATTGCCCGCCTCCGACCTTATCTTACCCCAAATTCAGCTGAAACCTTTATGCATTTGTTGCTTCCCACTTGGATTACTCCAACACACTCCTCGCTGGTATTCCCAGCTCCACTATTCAAAAGATCCAGCTCATTCAGAATTCTGCCACCCACATACTGACTTGAACCAAACTCCGTACCCACATCTCACCAGTTCTGGCCAGGCTCCACTGGCTCCCCATCACCGAACCGATCAAGTTCCTCACACTCGTGTTCAATCTATTCACTTCCTGGCACCTCCCTACCTCTCTAACCTCCTCACTCCCCAAACCACCACCCGGTGCCTCCGCTCGACTGGCACCAGTCTCCTGCTCTTCCTTCGCACCCTCTGCCCCACCATCAGAGGTCGCGCTTTCAGCCACTATGCCACGAAACTCTGGAACACTCTTCCTCAATCCTTCTACCTTTCTACCTCCCTCCCCCTTTTCAAGTCCCACCTGAAAACCTTCCTCTTCGATAGTGCTTCTTTATATTTTTCTGAGAAAAAAGTGAACCGATTTGTAAAGAGACTGAAGGAAATTGCTGAACATAAATGACCCTACCCTCAGACCAAGCCACCATTATTTCCTTTTTGGGATTCCTGTAAAAAAAATGTCCTGGCCTAAGGCAGATCTCAAAGAAAATATTATGCATTCATGTGTATGAATACGATAGCAAGAACATGTGTGTCTATAAAAATACTGCATTATTTTTGTTGTATTTTGAAGTGGTTTACTGTCGTGAAATAGTTTCTGAAAACTGTTAGGACATGTTACATTGAAAATAATTAAAATTCCTTTAGAATGCAGTAACGATGAGCTATTATTCCAAACTTAATTGTGCAGTTTTGGTTAAGTTAAGTCACTTGTTTGGAATGCTAGCTGTAACTCTGCTATTTCAAATTGTTTCCAGATTATTTGAAATTGATGAATTTGACTCATGTTTATTTTTAGAGTTTAAAGTTTTTTGTGATACTTTCATTTATAAAATGGTCTGAGGGGAACTAGGTGGGGCAAGAGATTAGATCATTTTACTTTTATCCCAGTCACGAGTTTGAATGTAGCCTGGGCTAACAGGATGAATTAAATAATATTAATAATAATAATCCTTGTATTTGATATAGAGCCTTATCACATCATCGATGTCTCAAAGCACTTCACAGGCTATATTGTAAAGTGGTGTGAATGCGTGTACACTAAAACCCCAGCTGGCCAGACCAATCAGGGATGTGATCTAGCCTGGTGAGCTAGAAATTTCCGTTAAGTGTAATTACAATACATTTGTTAATTACAATAATTACAAAACCAACTTTTTTGCACCAGATTTTTTCAGTGCCTAAAAATGCTGGTAAACGCTATTACCGGTATTGTAACTGTTTGAACCCCGCGAGCATAAGAAAGTGAACAAGCTATCTTCTACTTGCAGGATTCAAACAGTCAAAGCAGATGTCCCTGGCCATTGAGCAAGGATGGTGAGGCAAGGGCGAGCTATGAGAGTGGGCTTGCAGGAGTTTACATAGCAGGCCTGGGGAATTTTTGTTTATATATATATATATACACATATATATATATATTCCGATTCGAGTCGGTTCAAATTGCATATACCTGGAGATTTACTGTATTTTGTGAGCAAATGTGGCAGGTAATTTTCTCACAGAAATGTCCCACAAGCAGCACAATATAAATGAAAAGCTGATTGTAAATAAAATGCTGCAACAAATTGTGTGGGAGCAAATTATGTGAACATAATGTGTGCCGTGAAACATGGAGCAAATTAATTTCTCATGACTTACAAGAAATGAGAACTGTCTCTGAAATATTCTGTAATGTAAGTAACAAGCGTTCAAAATTATGGAAGTAAATTAAAACCAGTTATTGTAATAAGCTCAGGCTTGTGCAAATAGTGGACATAAATCTTTTTTTAGATTTTTGTGGATCTTTGCAAAGCTACATTTGCTTGTTTTTCTGAAGACACTATTTTTGTATAATCTAGTTTTTTTCAAAACAATTTTACTTATTTTCTGTAGAACTTACTTGGAGAAAAATATCAAGCACTGAATTCCAGACTTATTATAGGAAAACCTCGTTTGAAACTTCTATTTGAAGAAATAGCCAAGTGCAATAAAAAGTGAGTAAGATTTAGTTTTCTACATGTTGCATATATGTAAACAAAAATCATATTTGGCTGTCTGCCAGTTATTTCGATGTATGCCTTATTATAGACTACTACTTTAGCATGGAAAGGCATATCCAGAGTTGATATCTTACAATTGTAGGAGGTGGTGGCTTGGACAGTTATAGGCTGGTATCTCGTGAAGCGCCACTGAATCATTTCCCTCTGCAGATGACAGCAAAACATTGTGCCAAAGTTGAGGGAGGTGTGTGGGGGGAAGAGTGTGAACACCCAAACCAGTCAATAATTAAATACTGCTTGGGCATGCAATTTTTGATGATGTAATAAAACAGGATAACCCCATTATAACACAGTGCTTTGAGCCTACAAAATGAAACACCGTATTACAATGGGTCCACAGAAATAAAAATGGCAGTATCTGAATAACATTTTTGCTTTCTACCCTTTCTGACAGAAAATGTGTCGGAGTGTTTTGCTGTGGGCCAAGTGAACTGTCCAAGGAACTTCACAAGCTCAGCAACCAAAACAGTTCACATGGAACCAAATTTGAATACAACAAAGAGTCCTTCTGCTGAACATCACCACTTTAAAGGCTTCAGGCTTCACCACTCAAACATGAAGTGCAATTATTTGGTGCTCAGTGGGACCCTTGCCTTAGCCAATTCCCAGCAACCAAAGAGGGAGCCATATTGTGTCAGTGCTTATTCAATAGCAGTGGCACAGTTACAGATTTATATTCTTGGGGTTGTGAAGTAAGTTTACCAACCAAAGCTTTGCTTCCCCATGTTCACGGGGTGAAGGTTGGATATTCTGTTTATATGTAGAGAATTTTACCAAAGATTGGGAATCTATTCAGATATTAGCAATAATCTTTAGGAGGCAATTAAATGAGTAGTTGTGGAATGTTACTCAATGACATCAGAGATGTTAAATTTCACTAGTCTTGACCTCTTAAAAAAATTGTTTTGAAATGTAAGGTTATGCAGAATTGTGAAAATTTCTTACATTTTGCCTCACTTTAGAAGCTGGTTTTCCACATTTCTAATTAAGACTGAATTTAAGAATTCGGCACAATCTTGAGAACCAGTGTGATTTTGAGACAAACTGGTTTTGCGGGATATCAACGGATGGAATTTCAGGTCCCTGGTGAGATATTTCAGTGCTTATAGTTAAAAGTCCGCAAATTGAAAGCAGTCCCAGTTTTTGGTGCGTTTGATAGGACCTTTAAGTTAATATGATATGCAGAAGTTTATTGAGGGAAAAGTTGGTTGTGACTACAGTTTATTTACACACTTCAGTATTGGACATTCACACACTTTCACTATATTAATAGGAAAGATAGAAAGCACTGCATGTTGATTTTCCACAACTGGTAACCTGATGGTACAATATACTTGGTGGCATGGTTGCTGGTGTTTTATATGATTGGATGAGATAGCCTAACTGTCTGGGTTTTGAGATGCCGGTTGCTCAGTCTGTTCTTGATAGATAAGAATGCACAGTTACCTGTGGCCCATAAAGGAAGTGGATAAACATTGTGAACAACTTCTACAGAACAAGGTAAACACCTAAACAAAATTGGTATCAGTAGAAACAGTTGGGGAAAAAACTATTGAGTGTGAGCGTGTGTGTGTGTGTGTGGGGGGGGGGGGGGGTGGTGCTGGGTGTGGGGGTGGGCTGGGGGGGGATTAATCTGGTGGCAGATAATATTGGATAGTACACATGAAGTATCAAGGTTTGTGTATCCAACTGCTGTTGGATGGACTAGGTGGACTGTTGGGTGTAGGTTGAGGAAATGGTGAAATTCATATCCCAGTTCAAACCAAACTGCTTCCATGCACACCCTGGAGTCTCACCACTAACATTAACAGAAAGCTGGGAGCAGGTTGTCCACCATACTCTTGACTGGGGAATAGTTAACAGGATTTAACTTGAAAAAACAAAGAAAAAGTAGACTTGGAAGAATCAATGCAATATTTAATCTTTAAAAATGACTGTGTCCTAAGCATTATTAAATCTGTAATTGTCCCACTTTAGAAAGGAGAGGCCTCAATTTCTTTTATAACAGGAGAAAATAATTTAATGAACACATTCAGAATTCAACATGTTGCAACCAAAGTTGGAACCTGAGATTACTTCATTCCACATCCATAAAAAAACAGGAGTGCTTGATATACATTGATACTGTGACTGCACACAGCACTGAAGCTGGTGCCTTTCCTTCATCGTCCTTTTCGGCACAATAATGAAATGGTGTTGGAATTAATCACTTGAAAATGTATTAAACTGAATTTTTATTCTACTTGCCTTTTCTCCTCAAAGGTACTAACTTTAACAATATACTGACAAACAGATCTTCTACCAGGGGTTTAACTGCTGAAGGTTGTGTTGATGGAGAAATCCAGCTTGTAATGTAGCATTATTTCACCACCAGCTACACACCATTTCTTTGCCATTATGCATTACATTCTAACAATGAAGTCCCATGACCAGATTTGCTTTGCAGCTGTAATAACGTGTTTCTCTTTGAGAAAACATGTAATTTCCTAGACTGTAACATCTAGGATCTATGATATGGACTGAAGTCCAATTTAGCAACAATTATGTTTCCCTTTCCATTAGTATATTGTATAAAAAAGGATTAACATTTTAGCACGACATATACAAGTTTAGTCATCCGGACATGATATTCTCTTGGGTGGCGTGGAGGGGTCATTGACCCTAATGCAAAGTATAATTGTTTGATGGTAGGTTTTTGCTCTTTAAATAAAGGACAGAGTGAATGTGAGAAAATAAAATAGGAGTGATAAAGGGATGACAGGAGAGGGAGTTTTAAAATATTAACGTTTAATGCATTTCTTATTTTTACTCTTTTAGGATTGAAATTATAATATAAAGCTATTTTTTGACATTTGAGTAGCTTTTATTATTTTTAGTACATCAATGTGTGAGCTGAAAAAAATAAGACAGACTTAGCCCAAGGAAACCCAGTGAAGCTCTCCTGAACCTGCAGATATTTTGAGGTGGGGAAAAACACAATGTTACAAGTTGGATTTCTGCACCACTGTCAATTCAGCGTACTCAGCAGAGAATTTTCAATACTGTACCTGTAGTTTGGTCCTTTTTTTAAATAGGGATTATTTTCCTGCAAACTGCCAAATGTAAAATAAGTATCAAAATGATAACAAATCACTAAGATTTTCAGTTTTAAAGCAACAATGTGCTTGTTCAACCCAATGTCTTACTACCCTTCTGCTTTCATGCTACTGCATTTCATTTTTTTAATTTATCTTAAATTACTTACAGAATATCTACTTTAAGGCATGTGTGTTGCTTCCACTGGTCAAGGTTTTCCCTTAGAGTCAATGATGTTGCCTAAGCAATCCAGACTTTCAGGTACCTCTTATCTAGAGCAAATAGTATCCCATGCAATGCTGATGGCAATCTTCACACACGAGAAGCATTTTGTTTATATAGAGACTATATAAACCAGTTGCAGCTACGTTTGCAACTAATTTAATATAATCGGCCTTCTCTCTTTCATCTGGCATTTTTATTTGTCCTTGCCGGGCTTGATCTTCCTTTTTAGGCATCTTTATCCCTTAAGATTAAGAAAATGCGCTATTGAACTGGTTAACATCTCTTGTTCACATATTTGCACACATATCCTTGGAGAGGCTTCCTGTGGGAGGACTCCTGTAGGGAGGACTTGTGTTGGGAGGACTCCTTGTTGGAGTCCACACATGTGTGATTCGCTTGTTTAGGTCACGATAGAAGATTCCCCCAAAAAATATATGGCCATGACACTTCTACATGCAAGACCTTTCTGATGAGGTATAAATCATGTCTCTATGTCAATCACTTATTGCATTCTTGACGGACAGACACACACACAGACAAACATTTTGTCTTTATTAGTATAGATAATCAGGAGCTTTTCAGTTGAATGACTCCTTTAAAGCACTGGTGGAGAACCTGCCCTAGTAGTATGCATTTATACTTAAAAAACTGGGAAGATTCTGTAAAGCAAACAATTTAGCATTTATTTACCAAATATGGAGGTTTTCGAAGGGACTGAAAACAAACCGAATTTAATGCCTCTCCACTCAGCAAACGGCCAGGCAATTGGCCCCTTATGAGCCTACAAATGAATCATCTTAAAAAGAAGGCACAGGCTTGAAAAACGCTGCTAGGTCAATTTGCAACATGCATGTGAAAATACTATTTTTAGTACTTGCCCTTAGTGTAACATTAAGAACATCAGTAAAAGTATAATTTGGAGGATAAACATACTTCACTTCTGTGCTCCAATGTCCTTTGCAGGTTTTTGAACTCAATGTACGTCTATCAGGCAGTAAAATCATTATTTAAATTCTCAGGGACAAATACGCTACAGGATGGATTATAGCTTTCTTATTCACGTGATTGTCTTATCGAATGAATCAATATTTTTGCCCCCTGCAGCATTTCTAAATGTGTTTATATTATATATATATAAAATGTTATTTCTATGCTTGATTAAAGTATAAAAACTAGTGAATTTGTGTATTATATTTAATGAAGGTCTTATTTTGACTTTTTACACTAAATTCAGGATGTTTTGCCAAAGTATTTGTGAATACTCTGTTGTGAGATACAATCATTACTGAAATATTCCATTTGGGTAAGAGGGACATTGTCATCCAAACACTGTATTAAAAAGACGTTTCATTACATCACCACCTGGCGGCATTTTGGCTACATTACATTGAAAAAAAAGTGTAATTTACAAAAAAGTATAATATACTTTTATTTTTGAATATTGATATTTCATTCAGAGAATATTATGGAGCAATAATAATGTTACAATGTTCTCAACCTTTCCCCTCAAATAAAACAATAATACATTACTTGGAAAGGTAATATCTTAACTTTCCTTGAATGTTAAAGTTTTTGTCTTATTTATTTTATGTAGTTTTTACATTTATTTTCATAGACTCATGCTGTACCACTATAAAGCTTTAGGAATACCATTAATTGGAAGCAATTTATTGCAATACAATTTTAAAAAAACTCCCAAGTAAAGATTTTGGCGAAATAGATTCTTAAATTAGTCACAGTATTAAATGGAGTGGAGTCCTGTGGCTCAGTGGTTAGAGCACTCGCTTTGCAAGCGAGAGACCTGAGTTCAATTCCAGGCAGGGCGAAACCTTGGGCAAGTTTCCTTACTCCACACGCCTAATAATAATCCCTCCAAAAACCAAAAACAATAATAAAATTGGTCATTTTCAATCTACGACTGTTTGTGGGTCATTGCTGTGCGCAATTGGCTGCCGCGTTTGCCCACAAATATACAGTCAATTCACTTTAAAGTGTGTTCTGTGAAGCGCTTTGGGACGTCCTCCTGACGTGAAAAGCGCTATATCAAATGCAAGGATTATTATTAAAGGATTATTATTAAATATAATACTCAAGGTATTATACCTTTCTTCAGCCCTTTGCATTCAATGCTTTGCAACTTTAAAGAAAAGAGTGGTTTATATTGCAAGGATTGTCCAGTGCTTGCCAGTTGCATATCTACAGTTATGTTAAGAGATTGAAATTTTACTGGCAAATGTCTTTTTTTGGTCAACCAGGTGTCTGAAACCCATCATCATGCTTAAGATTATTCACATAAAACTAAGAGCTGTATGCATTCCACCTATACATGGAAATTTCTGAGATATTGATTGGAATGGAATGCACATTCTTGCTGGAGCGATGCATCCTGCTTACCTAATTCCGAAGACTATTAGTGCAGGTTGGCAAGATCCTACAGAGTGCGTTGAGATACTGCTGGAGTCCAACTAGTCCAATGCTGTCTGGCAAGCTTTCCTGCTGCTTATCCAGCTAGGGC